ATTTGTTGATTCAGCTTTTGTTGTCTAAGTCTTTGAGAAAATAGAGGTGGTGGTCTTTCTAAAATGATCTTAATTGAAGAGACAGATTTTTCCACATTCTTAAGAACATTTTCTTCATGTTTTTCAGCTTTCTCAGGTTCGCTCTCAACTTCAATCTCTTTTTGCACTACATTATCCAATTCTCTACCACTTCTCAACTTGATAGTTTTTACTTGCTCCTGCTCCTTCAGATCCACTATTGTAACCTCTCAGTAGACTTGCTTCCCAAGAGAAGGAGCCCATCAACGACGAAACAACGACGCTGGTGATCCTTGCCAACTGTCGACCTCCCTCTTGACATCCTCAGGACCAAACAGACATCCAGAGGCACCTCTGTCGTGGGCCGGAGTGGACGATCCCTCAAATGCACCTAGAATCGGAGGATGGTCGGCTCCCATCATTGATGAGTCGATGATCTGCACGGTCTTCTCTACAATAATAATCAAATGTCAGAACAAACAAAAAAAATTTTACTCAATCAAAGAAAACGATGTTTTCTAGTACCAATGAACCACTCCATTTCCGATGATCGGGGAGCAGTTGGACAACTGCCTTGTTGGTCTCTCCAAACAAAGAAAAGGGAGCTGCACCCTCACGCGACTAGACCAAAGTCTCTGGGACCACCTGGATCGGTTGTTGAGTCGGCCGTTCACGGATGGCTGCACAGGAAAGGACCATCGCACCAGTGGTCTGCACATCCTCCCTGCTCCCCATCATGATGGAGCGACATTAAGTCAAACAACTCAACCACTTCCTCCAGTTCCTCTACCCTTTGTTTCTTCTAGAGTATTTGTTTGACCAGCTTCTCTCCCTCCAGTCGACTTCCTCCTTCCGATCTCTTTGTGTTGACTAGCTAACCTTCTCCCTCTGACCTCTTTGCTATTACCGATCTGCCCTCATCCCCTTTGTTTCTTCTTTACCACGAGTCAGCTACTCTTCAGTTTCTTTTTCTCCCTTGCATCTTTCGGAGGGTAAAATTTTTCGGTCAAAATTATGAAGGCCTGCAACATGGCTACCTCATTTACCATCTCAACAAAAGATTTCTTACTACTCATTATAGATATTTCTCCTGTTGACAACCGTCTGAAGGCAAGAAACGCAGAAAATGTGATGGAGAAGTATTGATCGCGCCCTATTTATAAGGAGAAACGCAGAAAATGTGATGGAGAAGTATTGATCGTGCCCTATTTATAAGGACTACAACAACAACAACAAAGCCTTAATCCCACTACGTGGGGTCGGCTACATGAATCCTTTTTCTCCATTGCGTCCTATTTAGTGTCATTTTTCATTTAGTTCTAGTAAATTAAGATCATTTTTAATGCAATAAGCCCAAGTCTTCCTAGGTCTACCTCTGCCTTTCTTAACACAAGTCGAATTTAAAACATCTACTCTCCTAATCGGATCATCTAATGGTCGACGTTTAATATGACCAAACCATCTAAGGCGACTTTCTCTAATTTTGTCTGTCACAGGAGCTACACCAACCCTATCACGAATATATTCATTCCGCATTTTGTCTCTAAGTGTAAAGCCACTCATCCACCTAATCATTCTCATCTCGGCAACACTTAACTTATTATTATGCTTCTCTTTTAAAGGCCAACATTCAACACCATAGAGAATTGCCGGTCTCACCACCGTCTTATAAAATTTTCCTTTCAGTCTTAGCGGTACTTTTCTATCACACAAAAGGCCCGAAGCATTCCTCCACTTCAACCAACCAACTTGAATTCTACTATTAACATCCCCATCTATATCACCATCGCTTTGGACAACGGACCCAAGATATCTAAATCGTTCACACCTTTTAATAATTTGATCACCCAAAGTCACACTTCTGTCACTAGAGTTATTACTACTAAAATTACATTCCATGTATTCAGTTATAAAGAATGAATATATTCGTGAAAATCCAGGAAGTTTAATTATTAAAAGTACTAATCAAGCAATCAATAATTCAATTCTTGTATTTAATGTTCTTATTCTTATTGCAACTATCACGATCAAAAATGAAGAAAATCGAAGAACTGAATATTTACATAAAAAAACTGTACGCACGAATCTAAAGGAAATCCAAGGAGTCTCTCTTAAGAATATCAAAGAATAGTGTATTAGGGTATTCAAAAGACGAAATACTAAGTGTTGTTTCCTTCGGTCAAAACTGTAAGCCGACCAAACGGAAGCACAGTCGAACAAAGGAATGGAAAGAACCAGATCCAAGGGATAGTCGTTCAAGACAAGCTCCCTCAACTAATTCTAGAACTTTTCACAAATATGGTCAAAAAGCATCACAAGGAACGCCTTTATGATCCTCAAAGATGACCCCTTATCAAAGGAGAGCTAATCGTCAAACTGCGAGGATATACCCTCTGCCTGACGACCCAAGTTCACCCTAACGATAGCAGGAAGGGGCCTACCGACGACCTGTAGGCGGGCCAAATGCCCGCTGGTCGACCAAAGAATTTCGACCGATCGAATGACAATATTAACAGGTCAACAAATGCCTCCATTCAAGCATTAATGAGTATGAAGCATTGTTAATATCAGTTATGAATATGATTGGATGTAGGAGTCAATTGCAAAATAAAAAGGTGTCATAACAACTTGCAATGTCCCTAAAAAATAGGGACAATTATATAATTTTATACTAGATACCATGAGATATCTAAATAAAATATCATTTCTCTAATAAAGGACTATTGAAATTACTCTATCAAAACTCGTGTTACTGTGCACTCTTTTTCTCTCAATCTCGTCTGTGTTATGCTATATACCTTGGTGTGATTTACAGAACATTTCTAGATTCAACAGCATAATTCATCAATCGATAACAAAGGATAATTACTAATCTTGAGCCATTTACCATTTAAACATTTTCAATTGTTTTAAAGATTCGTTAATTTGGATAAAGATCTCCATAATATCTGTGGACCAACAACAAAAGAAAATAAAAACATGAGTCTTTGTAAGAGCATATGAATTTAATGCTGGATCCTCATTGTAATGCGACTGTGATTGTCGACTCTTTAATCATTGTACAGGCATATCTAACATTAGTATTTTAATTATCATACTATCTTTAATGATTGCAGCACATTATTAATATACCACATTTCATATTGCACACAAGATCAACTCCTGACCTCCTCTAAAAGATCAATAAAACCCCATCTAAAAATCTTTACTCAGCTCTATATACTTTCTTTTTGTTAACACAAAAACCATCTCGTTATTCACCCTCCCATTTTTTAAGCCAATCTCTCTCTCTCTCTCTCTCTCTCTCTCTCTCTCTCTCTAATCCTTTTATATCTCTCACATCATTTTGTATTATTGACTTAACAAAATTATTTTTCTATTATGTCAAACTATTACCAAACAGAAAACTTAGATCTTCTAATATGCATCAAATATGCCCCTTAGTATAACCCCTTGAGATAAATCCTGGCTAAGGCTTCAATAAAAAAAAACAGAACAATAAGAGGATCTATTTCCTTCTATGTTTTTCATTGCCATCTTATGCTAGAGGCCGTTGAAAAGGGATGTTCCAAAAGAAGAATTAATCACCTTCATCCAAATAAGTGCAAAAAAAATGGATTCTTCTTAATGATCACCTCATAAAAGAGACAAAAAAAAGGGGGGATTTCTCATGAAATCAAGCAGAAAGAAAGAGGCTGTATCAAATGTGCGTAAAGCAACAGTTATATCGTGTTGCAATTCGACTCCAAACTCTTGTAAGCAAGCAGAGATGAAGGTGATGACAACACAAAATGTATGAGTTTTTATTTTTTGCCTCCATATTCATAGAGCAATCATAGGAGGATGGTAAAAACTCAAGAAAAATGAATGATCAAATTTCCTCATGCAACATGCTCAATTTATCAAACGAAAAAAAAAAAAAAAATAGAATGAGCTAATAGGTAGAAACTACTCTTAAGAGAGAGAGAGAGAGAGAGAGTGAGAGAGAGAGTGAGACAATGGACTATTTAAAACAAAATGAAATGAAATAGAGTAAAGCTTGACAACAAAGCTGTCGGTCAAACAGCTATTATACCAGCCATCATGAGCGTTTGCAAAACATTCATTAGCTTCATCATTTAACTTATCCGGATTATTTGGAGTTAGTTTTCTGAATCATCTTTTTCATTCATTTCATCAAGTGTTGTATGTGGTCTTAATTCTATTCTAATGACAATAAAATTTTTAAAAAAATGATATTCTCTACATGAAAAGTCTGCATTTTTTTTTTTTTTTTGAGGAATTTTGTGAAAAAGGGGAATTAATTACTGAGTCACCAGAGCATGATGCATATAATAATAAAAATAAATAAATAATACTCAGTGAAACAGACTGTCAAATGCTTCAAAAAGTAATAACATTGAAACAGAAGAATTGTACAGGTATAAATATTCTTACCCGTTTGACCAATATGTAATCTTTGGTATCATTCAGATAAACGCTGGAATCCCCTTCAATTAGGGTAAAAAACTGGAACTAAAACAAATGGTGGAGGAATATTCACAACATTAAGCAAGTTTTTGAAGGAAATAATACAAGTCAGAAACGTAAACATGGATTTAAAATCTCAAAGAAGAGGGAACTACAAAGATGAAGCCAGTAAAACAATTTAAAATAAGCCTACCAAATTTAGAATTATAAAAGTTTTGAAATTTCCATTTAAAGTATAAAGTTTACAAAATATACTGTTGTCAACATCTCTCTATTAACTTCCAAGGCAGTGATAAAGCCTACAAACTTTTCTAGCCTTTTACCATCCATCAGGCTATGTCTGTATCATCCAAAAAATTTAGCCAGCAAATAAGTATTAGTCATGCAATCATATTAAGTCACGTACAATGCAAACAAAAAAAAAGTAGGTTTTATCACTTTATAGCAACAGAAATAAAAACTGAAAAAGGAACCACTTTCATGAACACTAAGATAGCATTAACACATACTAATTTTCTCAAATTAACCATAGCACTTTTAAAAGATAAGCTAAAACATGGAAATATCATAATAAATTACATCATACTATCATCCATGTCAAGTGCCGATATCGGATCCACTTTGCAGCAAGATTGATTACAATAGCTAGTGAAAGAAGAAGAAGAGGTAAAGGAACTCTTTTGTTGTTTGCTAGGATTTCTGACCCCACACCATCATTAGAATACTTGGAATACTGAACAATAGCTAGGGCTAAGTAGGATGTTATGACAATGCCCCTCACCCATGGTTCCCCCACAGCAGCCAACAAGGCAGCAGATGGCAGAGCAGCTGAAACATAGTCTCTTTTCTTGATAAACTTCGAGTAGAAAAACATACCAAAAAGTAAGATCCAGAAAGGTATCTCAGGAATGAAGCCCCTAACGGCCCCAAAACCAATTATACCTGATAGCGTTAGAAGGTATGGCTGGCTGTTCACAGATTCTGGGACTGTAGCTTCAGCAATGGCCAGAATAGTTGATGTAAAAAAGATTATCCTTGTTAGCTCTGGAACTGGAGCAAAAGCTACAATACTGGCATAAACATACCTTATAGAATAGAGAACAAATTCACTATATATAATCAAACTGGTAATTGGACCACCAATAAACCGAAACACAAAGGCTAGTGTAAGCTTCAGTAACCAAGCAGAGGTACTTAAGATTGCTAATCCTGCCTTCTTCCACTTTGAAAGTTCCCATAACACGGTTCGCCAAGTATAAACAAGAAAAAACAGTGCTGCATATAAGAAAATGATACAGTGACTTGGCCTGTCTTCTTAGGACAATTGAGAATAGAAAATGTCAGAGAAATTCAGTAATTTCCTGTTTAAATTTTCATTTTTCGGGTTTGAGAGTTCAGAAAACCACAAGTAGTTAACTGAAAGATTAACTTGAAAATGAAATTCAAACATTAAATAATGTTATTTTCAATATAATATTTGTATTAAAAAATTAAACTAAATCATTGTACAAATAACTATCGCCTTTTCCAAAGATCGGTCACTTTAGAGTCAAACAAATTATACTTTACATTCAGAATTATATATATAAATTAGAAATTTCTGCCATAAAATCTAAGCCGATATCTTTCCAGCCTAGGACTTCTATGATTGATATTCAAGAGTAGCTAAATAAATATATATATAGATATATATATATATATAATTCATAGTTTTCAAAAGAAAAAAACTAGTTCTCTGATTTGTATATATATATAGATATATAGATATATATTCCAAGGATCAGTAAATATGAATATTAATGTGTGCGCTAGCATGTCTGTAGTAGGCTGTGTAAGCATGTTTGAAAGTATGAGTATGAAT